AAACAGAAATGAGTATTTCAGTAAATTACTGTGCCATGAATGTCCAAGTGTGCTTAAGAAATGCTAATGTCGTCACTGAGGAGCAGCAAGAGGCAGGGGTCCTGGAAAGATGGGTCATAGGGGCATGCCGAGGGGCAGGCAGGGGCGAAAAGGGAAAAAACAGTGAAGGCGCTCAGCTGTCATTAAGCGCCATGTCATCCTCTCTGGTGTCCAGTCCATCGAGGCAGCTCAGGCCGGCTTCATTTTATAGGTGGAGAAAGTAGGGCTCAGAGAGGTGAAGCGACCTGCTTCAGGTCACACAGGTCCATCTGGTCTGTCTGAGGCCTCAGCCCGACTGGCAGTCTGGAAAGCAGAAGAGAAGAGACCCTGGAGCCACTGCTGCTGCCTGGCTTCTCGCTTTGGGACCTTGGCTGCCAATACCACTGTGTGACTCTGAGTACGCTATGTCACCTTTCTCTGCCTCAGTTTCCTCTTCTGTAAACCGAGGATAATGGTGGCCTCCATCTGGAGGGCTGTGGTGAGGGGAAATGCGGAAAGCACTTAGGACACGGCCTGGCCTGGAAAGAGCCTTGTAAATGGTGGCTCCCACTGTGACCACAAGGGAGTGGGGACACTGGGGTGGGCAGGGGGAGTGAGACCATCTGACTGGAGCTGAGAGCTTCCAGGTCATCTGGATGGGAGTCTGGGAGTTGACCAGGAGCCACCAGTTAAGAAATACTTGAGAGGGATGAGCAGCTCAGGGAGCAGAGTCGCAGAGGGTGGTCGAGGCCACCTAGAGGGGAATTTGGAGGGCCTGTGGGGTGGAGCCCAGGGTCCCATAGGCTTCCTTCCTCAGGAAGAGAGGAGGAGTCTCTGGGGTCTGAACCTGCCACAAGGGCAAAGGAGCATCAGAAATGGAGAGAGAATAATATTGGTATTTCTGTCCTCCTTCCTCTCCTCCCTCCCTTAATTTTTCCCCTCATCTTGATCTCCCTTCCTTCCTTTCTTCTCTCCTTTTCTCTTTTTCCCTTTCCTTCCTCTTTCTCTTCCTCCCTCCATCCCTCTCTCCTCTCCTTCCTTCTCCCCTTTCTCTTTCCCTTTATCTCTCCTTTCTTCCTCTTTCTCTATCCCTTCTTCCATCCCATTCTCTCTTCCCCACCTTGTTCTAAAAAGCCTGCGGAGAAGAGCGTGCTCTCAGAGCCGTGTCATGAGTAACCCACTTGTGTACTTGTGGTTTACCTACCTGTAGAAAGTTTGTACCCTAAGATCTCCACATGCTGTAGGCAAATGGTTTTTGATTCAACTCCACAAATATTTACTGTGCTCTGGTTAACTGAGCGTACTTTGTGCTGGAGGTGCCAGAGAGATGCAAATGGGCAAAGCCGGTCCTCGGAGGAGCCAGACTGGGGCCCCTGGCTGATGTTGGCAGAAGACATGCCTCTCTCCCCGCAAGGATGCTAAAGGGCTCTCTGTCTACCTGGGCCCACTTCTCTCTCCAACAAAGTGCAGAAAGGGGCATGGCTGCCAGGTCTGCAAGATCTTAACAAGACGGTACATTGAAGGCACAATCTACAGGAACGAGGGAGAGCCCAGCCCACAAGTTTTGCAAGACTTGGTGAATATCCGTCGGTTCACTGCTGGTGGCACACACAAGCTGGACTTCTGATTTTGCATCTATTTCTTCCTTTCCTATGAATTTTCCAAGATCGTCAACATAAATAGAACTTTCTCCTCAACATGTTTTCCAGGGCCACACCAGGCTTTAAAATAGACAGGCCCCCGTGTCATTTGCATGTTGTTATTTTGGAGAGTAAGGTTTAGCCAGGTCCCACGATGAGCACAGTGCAGATGCGCAAAGGGTGAAAGGGAATTTAGAAAAGTGATGGAAAATGAGATCTAAAGAGCGAGTGGGGGACTGTTCCCTAAATACTTTAGGCTCTCTGACTTCCTGGCCTGGGTGTGATGTGGAGCAGTTTGTGAGTAGTTCCGGCTGATAAATGACAAACAGAAGCAACCGTGCTTCTCCTGGGCTGGGTCACTGAATTGTTTTGGTATGATCTCCAGAGACCTCCTTGCCTCAGGCATTGCAACGGCCATTGTTCTAGATGGGGCTGCTTCAGCTCTGTCCTTGAAAAATACCCCATGTCCAGCCTCCCTGCTGACCCACAGCAGACCTGGTGGAGTGAGATGTGAGCCCTGGTTGTCTTAAGCCGCTGAGGCGAGGGCTTGTTTGTTATTGCAGCGTATCTTTGCCTGTCCTGACTGACACACCGGGAAAACAAAAGCCTGATCTGAGAGGCAGTCCCTCCTTTTCCTCTTTTCAAAGCTCAAAATGTCAAATCTTCTCCTTTCTCTGCAGTCTCACCAGTCAACACAATCTTTTATCTGGTCAATATTTATCATGTGGCGTGAGTAAAAGAGGTAAAGTTTTGTTAGAATAGGAATGGAAAGAAAGCAACGACTCTACTTGTGGTTGGCAAGTTTACAGTGTGATGAAGGAGACTAGAAACAGAACACTTTCCCTCACCCCTAATGTGCACAGAACAACAGAATCACAGACCATTACCACAGATTTTAGAGGTGATCTAATGTAACTGCCTAGCCCGAGAAGGCATCACCTTTCCATCTCTGACTTATTTGTACCTACCAGGTGCCAGTCATCATGCTGAGCACCAGAGAGAGACAGAGATTAATAAAACTCAGCCTAGTGGGTACAGTGACCCAAGAGGAGTTTGGACCTAGTGCTCAAGGCACAGAGGAGAAAAGAGGCCACTTCAAGAGAGAAATCAGGGAAGGCTTCTGTTTTATTTATTTATTTATTTATTTTTTCCCCCAGAGCCCCAGTAGACAGTTGTATGGCATAGCTGCACATCCTTCTAGTTGCTGTATGTGGGACGCGGCCTCAGCATGGTCAGAGAAATGGTGCGTCAGTGCGCACCCCGGATCCGAACCCGGGCTGCCAGCAGCAGAGCGCGCGCACCTAACTGCTAAGCCACAAGGCCGGCCCCAGGGAAGGCTTCTTGGAAGAGATGGTAGTTTACCTGTCAGAACCTTACACCTCATTCTATGTTTGATTGCTGATTGTGGGAATGCAAAAATGATTGCTGGTTACCATCCTTTCCTGTCCTGTGGGCCAACTCAACCCTCCACGACCCACCAAGGATTAGACTTCTGACCTATCCCTTGGCCCTGTGACTTCTTAGACTGCCTTATGCATGTCCAAGCTTTTGTTCAGATACATTGTTGTCTCTGCCCCGGGATGTGAGAGGTCAGTTGGGTGACCTGGGAGCAAATCTCTTCCCCTCCCTGCTCTGTAAAACCAGGAATTAAATGAGATTCTAGGCTGTGTGTGGAAGTGCTCATCTGTGAATGCTCTCTGCAAAGAATCCCCGCCTTGGTTGGGGTGAGGGGCAGGTGTGCAGCTCCCATCCCCAAACTCCTGTGGGGGGAATCACTGGAGAGTGACTTTGTACTGGAGCTTGTTCTGCTCAGCTGCCTTTAGCAAGCAACTCATTCACAAGTGAGTACAAATTAATACAGTACAAACTGGCTACATAAATATTGTGCTGTAATTGATCGTCTTCTGTAATCAAAGGCAAGGCTGCTGACTTGGTTACTTTCTCTACCTTGCAACTGCAGGAGGAAAACTTTGGGGGAAAGGAATTGAGGTTGGAGAGGTGGTTTCTGCTGCATGTAATTGTTTGCAAGTTGTGACTCCGATGTATTGAGAGGACAAGGCCCATTACATTCAGATTCAGTAAATATTTATCAAATGCCCATTATGTGAGAGGCATTGAAAGACACATTATCTTATTTCATTATTAATTGAGTTGTAGTAATGATTTGATAATATGGCACAAAAGTTAGATCGTCTTGACAATAATATTTTTTCCCCTGGTATATATTATTGTTGGAATTTAAATAATCCTTTGGCTTTTAAAAACACGATGTCGACTTATAAAGAAAATAAAAGGAAATGGCAGTGCCTATCTCTTTGCTTACAGAAACCACAAACGGCACAAGAACAGGATCTTTAACCCAGTTTCTCCAGCTGGTACTGGGTAAGTGAGCCAGTGATCGCCACACTATTTGCCTGCATCCACGTTATTGATCGCTAAACAATCCAAATGCATGGAATTGGAAAATTGAAATCACTTCACACAATACAAGAAGGCAACGCCATCTTTCCATTTACCTGCCAAGACTAAGGCGGCTTGGTTTTTCCAGCAGTTGGTTCGATTTGGATGAGAGGGACTTCTGGGGGGCGTCCTCTCACATCCACCCTGCCGAGTCTCGTGTGCACTTTGGAGAATGGGGAGGGAGCTCTACCCTTTGGAAAGCCAGAGTTTAAAATCCACAAACCCTTTTTGCCTTGTTGAGGGAGGTGGGATAAATAAATCCCCAGGAAAGCTCAGCGGTCGCTTGACCCCTGCGGGTTGTGCGGTTTCCCTAACCTTGACCTGAAGTCAGCCGTCTGCAAGCCCTTTCCAAAACGTCGCTCAAGTTGGGTTGTCGTTCGTAAGAAATGAAAACGAAACCGCCCTGTTCGGCGAGTCGGGAAAAGGGCACTCGCTCCCCGGGGGCTAGGGGCAACTTCCCGGCCAGCCTGCCCCGGGGTTTTAAATAATCGCGGACCACCAGACCCTTTCACGCTCCCGGTGCCCAAGCCGCTCCCCGCCACTTCCCTCTTCCAACGCCGGCAGGAGTGCGTGGCAGCACCGAAGCGATTTTATTCGTATTTTTCTCCTCCGGGTTTTGTCATGGAAACGCTGACACAACCTCCAGACGGCGGCCGAGCCCGGCCGGGGACTGAGGGCTTTTGGGACCCTGCGGGAGCGCGGCGCGCACTCCGCGCTCCCCGGGAAACAGCTGGACGCGACCAAATCCCGGGCAGGGGCGGGGGGAGCGCGACGCTCCGCCCCGGCGCTCGGGGCCCTCCCTCCTCCCGGCTCGCCGCCGGCGCCCTCCCCTCGCCGGGGGCTGCGAGTTGCCTTTGGTAAAACCCAGCCCCGAAATATATAGATCCCTGGAGCGCAATGAAGTAGCCTCTGGAGAGGAGGGAGGGGGCCCGTCCGACAGCCACAGCGGCCAGCGCAGCGGCACCACCGTCACCGCTCGCACCCCAGCCGCCCGGCCCGCGAGGAGGCAGCGGCGGCCGCGGGCGGGAGCGGAGGCGGCGGCGGAGAGGCGGCGAGGAGCAGCAGGAGGAGCAGGAGCGCGCCGCCGGCGGGGCCACGCACCTCGGCACTTCCAGAGCAACTCCGGCGCCTTCCACAGCCCTGCCCGGGGCTGGGGGCTCCGGGAGCGGCCGCGAAGCCAGCCCGACCCTCCTCCCGATCCTGCCCAGCCCTGCGCCTCCCGGGCTCCGCTCCGCGCGGCGGGGTCCCCGCTCCTGCGCCCCGGGCGCGCCTCTCGGGCACCCCGGTCCCCGCAGCCAGGACAAAGCCATGAAGCCGGCGCTGCTGGAAGTGATGAGGATGAACAGAATTTGCCGGATGGTGCTGGCCACTTGCTTGGGATCCTTTATCCTGGTCATCTTCTATTTCCAAAGTATGTTGCACCCAGGTAGGGGGCGCGTTAGCGTGGTTTTGTTGGATATTTTCTTCTCGCTCGCTCGCTCCGCCTGGTTTCTGCCTCTTCCAACCTTACCTCTTCTCCCTCGGCCACCTCGGGGCTTCTTGGGTCACCGAGTCGGGATGGGGAGGAGGAGGGAAGATGTGCTCCCTCCTTTTCTTCCTCCCGGATCCAGGCTAGAGGATGGGAACAGGAGGGGCGGTAGTTTTTTTTTTTTTCTTCTTTCTTTGTGTCTGTTGTCTGTCTTTCTGCAAGGTAGCAGGGCAAGGTAGAGGTTGTGGGAAGCCGCTGGGGTTAGGGGGTCGGTTTGAAGAGAACGAAACTCCCTCTCCGCTCATGCCGAGGTCTGAGGATGAAAGTGGCGCCGGGAGCTGGCCGCCCTGCGCCCGGGCGCACTGCCTCTTCCTGGTTGGGGGACCGAGGGCGAAGGGTGCGCGCCCCGGCGAGGTTGTGAGTCCCTGCGGCGAGCTGGGGAGGCCGGGGCTAGGCTTCCACGTGTCCGGGGTTCGGCGCCGCGCTGAGCAGGTGTGGGGAGAGTGCCTGCCTTTGCCCAGCCACCAGGCTGGGGAAGGGGCCCGGCGCCGGCTGTTTGCCCGAGGTTCGGCTCCGCATTGACCTTGCGGCTGGTGCCGTGGCGCCTGCTCCATCCTTCCACCCCAACCCCCTCCCGATCCTGCGCTGGGGGACTCAGAGCTCCTAGGTCACGCCATGGCCACCGCAGTTTTGGAGGAAACTTTGGCCGAATCCTGGGCTGATGGTCAGGTCGCATCCCCCACTCCTGAGTCCTGAGCGCCCGGAGTCCCCGGGGCCGTGTGGGAATGAGCCCCCTCCCCCAGCCCCCGGTGGCTTAGACAAGTTCCACATCTGAAATCTGGACTGGGAGAGGGACGAGGCTCGCCCTTTCCAAGGGGCGCAAAGGAAAGTTTGGGACCTGGGGAGGGAGGGGCGCCCTCGAGCACGGCGGCCGCGGGTTCGCAGCTCGACTGCGAAGCCCAACAGGTAGACCCTTCCAAGGAGGCTTCTGGGGTAATGCGGGTCTCCCCGCTCAGCCGCGGTTCCCTCCACCCCCAACAGGCCCCCGCTGGGCCACGTTGGCTCCGAAATCCATTTTTTACGCCTCCGAGTTGCCTTTCTCAGTATAGTCACAGCAATAATTTGCTTTTATAATTACAAGGGAGAGGGAACTGGAAACACATTTCCTTCCAGGGAAATAGGGTTGGTGTTTTTCTTTTTGCCTCCCGCGTTCTCTTTTCAGTGTGTATCTAACACACTTTCAGCAGACGCTGCCCCGAATTCATCTAGCCTGCGTTTGGGTCGATGGCAGAGGATAAAGCTGTTCTTTCCATCGGACAGGCAGGGAGATTCCTTGACAGCCTGGGGACAGAATGGCCCCTCTGCCCCACTCGGCCTGGAGCAGTTGTTAAGGCCGCCAGCCTTACCACCAAGGATGTGGTCAGACACTACCACATGTAACCCCAGGACATCCGAGCCAGCCTTGTAAAAGATGCCTTTTGTTTGCACTTTCGTATTTTTAGTTGCATGTCAGCAAACTACAGCGGTGTTTGTCTCCTCACCCAGCCCAGTGGTTGTGAAACTTCTAAGGGAATTTAAAAATGGACCTCGCCTGCATTCTGGCAGCCAGGCGGTGGTTGCAGCTGGCAGGACCAGACAGTGGCATCCTGGAGACCAGGCCAGACTCCACCCCAAAGGGCTGGGTGACTAGGTGGTGTGCAAATACACTGGGGCTCAAACAGTTTAAACAAAGAACCGGGTGATTTGTCTAGACTCTAGAGATGTGTTTAGGCCGCTTAAAGTTTTCCCTGGATGGAACATGCCAGGTAATTCTCTGCAGAAATGCCTGGAACAGGGATGACTGTTAGCCTCCAGCAGGAATGCACTTTAACTTCCCTGTGTCTGTTAGTTGTCCAGTGAAATACTATCTAACGACCGTGAAATACTGCTACTGTCTATGGTTTTCATGCATCTTGTGCTTTGCTTTTCCTGTGTAAGAATTAGGAAGTAACTTTCTAGCCAGAGATACCAGGAAGAAACTTCCAACTTGTAATTGGTGCTTTGCTAAAATTTCCAGCTCTAATTAGAATATTAAGTTGACTTGCAAGTGGCATTAGCTCTTTTCAGTCTAGCCTTTTGGAACCAGGGACAGAATCTTTTCTAAGGCTGTGCTGATCCTCTGCTCTCAGCCTTTGCTTCCCTTTCTGGTCCTATTTCCTCCCAAGACATGGCATTGGTTTATTATTCACGTCTATGTGACTATGCTCTTCGGATATTTTTTCTAAGTCCATAGCAAATACTACTTTCAATACAGTCTGTTGATTGTAGAACTGCAGACAGTTGGAGTTGAAAGGTCTTCCTTATTTTGAATGACATATGGTTCCATGAAAACTCCATGTCAACGGTTTATTATTACATGGGACATAAAAATATGCTTTGAAATCCATATTAAACATTTTCTTTCTTTTTTTTTTTTCATTTTATTAAACTACACTGTTGATGAGGGGTCATGCTAAATCTTTTTCCTCCTGCTTTGGATTTCTTTACAAGTTACCAGATCTTTGCTTCTCTGAAGGATTTAGGGTAATGATAGCTGATCTCTTAGCCTGGCTCTACAGTTTCAGCCGCCTGGATCACTCTGGGAGAGGCAGAAGGGATCACAGCATGGCACAGATTGTGTTGCCAAAAATTTGGAGCCCTCTGGCAGGAGTTCCAGATACCTATATCTGAAATAGAAAAGTAGTATTGCAAAAGAAATGGATTCCCTCTGGCAGGAGTTCAGATACCTATATCTGAAACAGAAAAATAGTATTGCAAAAGAAATGGGTTCCTGGCTTCATTGGTGGCTAGAGAAGACCTACAGTGTGTGAGGAGGGAAAGAAAGGATAAAAGGAGACAGCTGGGGGGTGGGGCGTGTGGGGGAAGTGGCCGGCTGTCTCTCCTTCTGATTCTAATCTGGGATCCATTGTCTTTTGTATTTTTCTAATTCATGAGTAATTCGTAAATTTGAGTAATTGATCTTTAATTTGATTGGAGGTTCAGCAAAAGTGGGCCTTGTCAGTAAGGCAGTTTTCTTTAGATATTTGACCCTGTGTGTTAATAGTCTTTGTTAAGAATATTTTTTAGGGCAGGGACCAGGTTTTAGGCTCTATTCTAATCCCAATGTTTTGCACAATGCCCAACACATAGTAAGTTCTCAGTAGAATATCTGCTGGGCGAATGCATGATGTGGCTAAACTCTAGAAGACCCATTAATCTGGTTTTCAGAAAGGTTGCATCAAGCCTTGCCAGGAATGCCTGGTCAGTCAGTCTGGCTCTGACCGGTGGGGACCCTTCCCTGCTTCCTGGTCTCTGAGATTCCCTGAGATATGGACTCGTTTAAGCTCATCATGCATCCGGACAGGAGCATTCCCCATGGCCTGGATTGGCTCCCCCAAGGTGTGAGGCAGCTGGGGTGCTGCTCGGTGTCCTGGGTCCTGGGGAAGGTTGGCCTCATTTAGCCACTGACCTGAAGAAACTCATCCTCAGGGTGCAGGACGGACGCCTTCTGTGGGCGTGAACTGCTCCTGAAATTGGTGAGGATAGAACCGCATGCTTGTGGTTTCTGCACAGGATTGAGTCCATCAGCGAATGCGTCCTGTGAAACTGTATCCCGGACATTAAAGAGTCTCGCATACCTGCCCTAGACGCGGGGCTTTGATGGAGCTCTGTCATTCCAGGCAGAGCGGAGAGGCCCCCAGGCTGCATTTGTGCTGAGGGTGTGAAGACGGCCCCTCTGAACCTTCCTTTTGTCTTCCTCCCTAGGATTGTGGTTTTGTTTGAAAGCTCCTGTTCACAGAAGAGAAGCCTGCGGAGGAGAAAGGCTTTTTCTCTTTCTCTTCCTCTCCTTTTTTCCTTTTGCAGAATGTTTACTTTCACTGTCGCCTGGAATTTCTTTGCTTTGGTTGAATGTATTGAAAGATTATACCCTTTATTTAAAGACTTCTTGGGTAAGTTACCCCTTTGTAGTTTCAGTTGATTAGATTGAATGCAAAATGCCTTAGTATTATAATTTTAATCTAATTATCAACATGATATCTGCTCATTTTAGAAAATTTAGGCAGTACAGTAGAGAAACAATTATCCATTATTCCACCATCCAGAGGCAACTGGTACTTTTTTCTATATGTTACAGAATATCTATATTAAAAAAATAGTTGAGATCATATCATCCCCTTTGTATACTGTTTGATGTTGTGTATTTTAGACAAATCCCTCATTATGGTGACTAGTTATTAAGTTTAAAGACAGAAAATTTAACCACAACCTTTTTAATTTGTAGACTTGCATAGGCCTCCACCCTCCCACCCCCACCCCTTTGCAGGATGTCAGTTTGGTGTTGTGCTTTTTTTGGGGCTGCACACATTTAATTTTAAATTAAGGAATCTTTTTGCTTACACAAGAAATGAGTTTGGAGTCATACCACTTTGCAGGGGCTGTTCTTATGTTGTCTGTCTGTCTGAAACGTACTTTGAAAAGGTGTCAGGAGGGTTGCAAATATGAGACCGTTATGAATCCTGGAAACAGCATTAAATAACTGAAGGATAAGGCATTTCCAGTGTGGGGTCTCCCCTTGGCAGTTTAAATGTTTGCACCTCAGTGGGGCATTTTCATCGCTGCATTAAGATGAGAAAGATACACTTAGGCAATTTCCTTTGACAGTTATAGCCACTGTTCAGGAGTCCTGGTTTCATTGCCTTCTGAAATAAAAGTGGTGATCAGGCTCCAGAGGGAGAGTGTGGGGGTGATTCTGTGGGGTGAGGGGCAAGGGAATCCACCCTCCAGCAGAGGGGCTGCTGTTTATATTTATGTATCTGGTTGAGAAGTCCTTTTGCTTATGGCCAGCTCTATCAGCCCAGCCATTTAAAAACAGGAAATCAAAGGCTTCCAAGCACAGCACCACCCTTTCCCTTCTTAAATGCACGAGAAGGATGAACGTC